TGGCAGCTTTTCAGCTCCTCTCCGGAAGGTCAGCAGTGCCAGGGCTTGCCCAGTGCTCAGGGAGGAGCTGGAGGGGGACTTTTCCAAGCACTGGTTCCTCCTCCACTCCACACCGATTCTTGCTTGTTTTGGGGGCATTCTCTTTGTGTACCAAGGGCTGGGAGGATGTCTATTCCCTGCCCAGCCCACAGCAAGCCCCTCTCAGATGCTGGCACCAAGACCAGCACCCTACAGCCCTAGAATGTGGTGCCCTGTAGTCACACTGCCTTGGTCTTTCTTCCAGGATTGGGCTCTACATACCTCGGGGAAGAGCTGCAGGGGAAGGGTCTCTCCAAGCACCCAAGGGTTCTGCTTTGGAGAAGAAGGGAGACGCAAGTGTGGAGGGAGAGTCTACCAGAAGAGGTAATGTGAGAGCGGGCTCTTGGGAGTGACAGCCCCTGGGAGACCTCTCTGCCCTTCCCTTCTGAATGTCCTCCTGAGGGCAAGGGGTACAGAGGCGAGGCTGGAAGGCTGCGCTTTGCACAGGATGAGGCCCCTCCTCTGACCCCAGTTCCCTGTGGCAGTAGCTCTGCTGGGCCTTCGTAGGAACCAGAATGGCAGGGCAGCCCCGCGCTTCCCATAGCATTCAACAGGATTAGATGTGTCCAAAGGTAGAATGTGGGGTACAGTGGCAGCAGGGAGTCCCAGGACTCCCATCCCCACCTGAGCAGTTGCAAGCCCAATAAAGACTGTTACTTCCTGCTGGAGGGACCAGCACGGGCTTCGTAGTGTGCCGATTTCACAGAACACAGAATGGTTTTAGGATGGGAGCTACCTGAAGACGTCAGCTTGGCCAAACCCCTGCTCAAACTGGGCAACCCAGCACCAGTGTCCAAGGAGCATGTCCTGTGCAGATGACTCCCATCCCCACCCGTGAAATGCCAGTGGCCAAGGAGACTCCCTTCTCGGCCAACCCATCTCCCAGCTTGCTCTGCCTTTTACAAGTAGCACCGGATCCAGCAGGGAGGCTCATTCCCTGCCTCTTTGTGTGGCCACCAAGGAGCAGCACTGACGAGCCTTCTCGTTTCCTCCTTACAGGGATGCCTCCTATTAAGAGCCAGCTGCTCACACCCCAGAGTCTCTCTCTATCCAGACTCTCCAAGATGAAAGGGGAGGCAAAGCTGAGCCAGGCTGCAGTGGAAAAAGAGCCTTCTCGCAGGTGAGGCTGGGGGGAGCCTAAAAGAAGCAGCCCCTCGGCTTTTCTTGAGTCATCAAGCGGCTTTCCTTAGACATGGGGACTTGGTGAATTCCACAGGGGGTCCCGACACATGCCCCACCAACTTCCCTTTCCCTGCTGGGGACCTGATTGGTGAGCAAAAACTAGAGCAGGAAATCCTCCTCTTCTGTGCTTGCAGGCTGCTGACAACCCGTGAGGAAAGCTCCTCAAGAATGGCAGAAGAGGGGAAGGGCAAGCTCTGTGCTGTGGCCTGGCCCCAAACTCAAGCCCCTGCCTGTGAGGGTCAACGGAGAGGAGGACAGGTAGCCACTGCATCTGTGTGCCCATTGCCGGGTTGTTTCACGGGTTGCCATCATGGAGATTTGACATTTCTTTAATAACTGCATGCCCTTGTGCCCTGTAGGAAAAATGCTGCTTGAGACACGGGCCCATGGTATGACAAGTGCTTTCAAGCACTCGAGAAGGAACCTTTCTCTTCTCTCAGGGGGCCATGTGCACACTCTTCCCCTCTTAGCTCTGCAAGGAAGCTTCTCTCCAAGAGAAAAACGTGCACTTTCTGAGCCTTGTTTTCCTCTGAGAAGGACAAGGGCTCCTGCAAAGCCCACTGCAGTGAAAGTGTTCTTGCCCTTAGTTTCAGAGGCTGAGGGTGTTACCCTTTCATGCTGCCTTTCTGAGAGAAAGCAGGCTGCAGGGAAACTGCCCTGAGCCTGCGGAAACCCTGAGGGGACGACTGCCCCACTGCCATGGGACAGCTCCCACGTTAGCACCCCCATCTAAAAACGTTCCTTGTTTCTGCTTCCCCTGTAGCAGAAGACGCAGAAGGAAATGCAGGGGCTGCAGACAGAGAGCACATCCTCCATGGCACTTGTGGAATGGAAAAAGTCTCTGCAGATGGTGCCAGTGGACATGAAACAGCAGCATGTCCTAATCCCTCACCCGCCGGAGAAGAAGGCTGAGGCAGCTCCTCTGAGCAAACCGAGTGCCAGGTAAGTGTGGGCCAGCTTCCAAAAAAGGCCAGGAAAAGCTGAGCTGCAGCAGGCTGCCCGAGGGATCCAGCATGCGGGTTGCTCAGCTCTGGGCTTTGGCTCTCCATCCCCTGGCTGCCTCGCGGAGAGAATGACCGTGGAGAGGCCCTGCCTCCAGCTGTCCCCCTGCAGACCCAAAGTCCTAAAGCTCCCCTGCAGCTGACAGTGACGCACCCACAATGGAAGGAGGCTGTGCTCCCTGCTTTTGGGCAGACAGAGGTGAGGACCTTCAGAGCCCACCTGAGAGTTTTTTTCTCTGTTGCTGCAGCTGCCTTTCAGTGCGGACTGAGCGCGTGAGGAAACAGCTGGAGAGGAGAGGGGAGGTCCTGCAGAAAGACAAGACCAAGAGCAGAGCTGTCGACATCCCTGGAAATTCTGCAGAGGATCTTCTGATTTGGTAAACCTCTCCTGCAACAGCCTTCATTCCACTAGCAACAGCCCCTTCCTTGGGCAATGAGGCCCCCAGGCTCACGAGAACCCTTGCCCTGGCCTTCCGTAGCTGCTTGGCCAAAGGTCTCCAGCCCGGTCTCACACAGCGCCTCGGCCTGGCGCTGCGTAGATTCCCTGTCACTGGCTGGGACTCGAGGGGCCCCCACAAGGCCACACAGAGCCTTGGGACTCCTGCATATGCACGCTGCACAGGACTGGGGCTGAAGGGAGCAGGGAGTGTCACTCCGCTGCCCTCACTGGAACAGAAACTTGAACCCTTTCTTTTTCTCTCCCTAGCGTTGGTGAGAAAATCCCTGTGCTTCCAATGCCAAAGATGACACGAGCATCAGGGAAACCAGCGAGGACCCCTCGCAGCTGGGAGCAGCTGCGAGCCCAATAAAGTCTTTTGCTTCCTGCTGGAAGGACCAGACGGGCTTTGTAGTGTTCTGATTTCACAGAAACACAGAATGGTTGAGGTTGGAAGGTACCTGAAGAGGTCAGCTTGGCCAACCCCCTGCTCAAACATTGCTACCCAGCACCAGTGTCCAAGGAGCATGTCCTGTGGAGATGGCTTTCAAGTGTCTCCCCTTGAGGAGGGAGACTCTACAGCCTCACTGGAGAACCCGTGAGAGGACTCGCTCACCCACACACTACAGAAATGGATCCTGAGGTTCAGATGGAAGCCACTGTGTTTGCTTCTGCGCCCATCGCCTCCTGTCCTGTCATTGGGCTCCACTGAAATGAGCCTGGCTCCATTGCCTTTGCACCCTGCCCGCAGGCATGCAGTTATCCACTGATCCCCCCCTGAGCTTTCTCTTCTCCAGGCTAAACAGTCCCATCTCTCCCAGCCTCTCTTCATAGGAGAGATGCTCTGTTCCCTCAATAATCCACCTCACAATTTTTGTGGGACTGTTAAGCAGTTCAAGTAGCACCACTCGTGGCCTGCCAAGACAGCCACGAAGGCCTCCTAGCTGAGGCTGCTGATTCTCCCTTGCTGAAAGACAGGTGCTCTTAGGATCCAGCATCAGATCCTGCCTGTGCCTGGAGAGCTGGGAAGAGCTGGGAGCTCTTGATCCTTCCAGGGTGGAACTTCCAAGGTAACGGCTCACTGCAACCTTCCCTTTGGTCCCAGGAAATAAAAAAAAAAAGGCATCAAGCACCTGCCCTCACTCCTCACTCAGCCCAGAATTAGCAACAAGTCTTCCTTCCCTGCTGGTACTGCTGCCAAGGGAGCTTTGAAGTTAAGAGCCTCTTTTGGAAAACAGCTTTTCCATGACCTCTCGGGTCTGCACATGGCCAAAAAGCAGAGAGAGAGAGAGAGTTTGAAACCTGGGAGAAAAGAAGGAAGGAAAGCCAGCAGGGACTTTAAATCTGCACAGCACAAAACTGAAGGACAAGTTGATTTTTTTTTGTCACATCACTCATACAAGAGAGTGAAGAGCTCTCTTTCTCTCACATGCTCTCACAGTTTTCATTCTCTCCTCCTAAAACTTTCGGGGACTTTGATCCCTCATCAGGCAGCCTCGATGCAAGTTGCTGTAAATTCCACTTGGGTGGAATACCTCTTGCTGAATTGCTGCCTTTGGCCTTAGAGATCCCAATCTATAGGCATCCTTTGAACTGATTTCCTCAAATCCCCTTTAAGCACATCATCCTGAAGTCTACTGAACCCGGCCCATGTAATCTGCTACGTCACATAATGCTGAAAGCTTGTGAACGAGTGAGGGTGCCACGGAGAAAACCTCCGTGTTGTGGAGCACACGCTCGTCCCTCAGGACACCTCACAGACCATGTGCAACGTGGCCATCTGACACATGGAGACACTGAGGGAGGGTGCCAGGCACAAGCTCTATATTAAACACTCGTGAAGCATTCCTTCTTCCTTATTCCCTTTCGAGATTTCATGAATAAACGAATGGCAGTTCTAGCATTTCCTTCCCACACCCAAATGGATCACCTTGCACACCCCCTGGGGCACTCTCGAGGATTGTATGGGACTGAAAGGAGAGAGGTTCCTTCTCAGTGCTGGCATGCTCGGCTCAGCTGTGGCCCTACAGGAAAGGGGATCTACAGGAAAGTGCTCCCTGAGTGCAGGGAGAGAGAGAGAAAAGCTGCTCCCTGACAGGGCGGCTCCAGCCCCGCCCTCTGACAGCCCTGGCGGCCATTTGGCAGTTCTGCCTGCCCCCCGCGCCACAAGCTGGCTGAGGCCTTGGGCTGTCCCCAGCACGGCTGCCAGTGGTGTCGGGCGGCATCTAGAGCCAAGAGGCCTTTCTTCTTCTTTGTGCTGAAGGAAACTTTGTGCTGTCTGGAGCGAGCAGTGCCAGCTTTTCTCCGCATTCCGGGGCTGTCATGGTAAGTGACATGGCCTCTCACTTTGTGGGCCCTGTTTTTTCGTCAGCATTTGTGAGGGGCTTCTGCATCCCCCCCGCTCACTTGTTGCGGCCAGGGCTTCCCCCCAGGATGTCTGGGCAAGGCCCATGCCGCTGGGCAGGCTCTGGGTGGGCCTCGTCCCCTGCAGGGGCAGGCGTCTGCCGCTGAGCCCACAGCCCATGAGCAGCTCCTGCACTCGCGGCTGCCCCTGCGCGGGCTGCTGCCGCTGCTTCTGGAACCTTCCTGCAGCCTCTGGTGCCTGCTTGGCGGCGGCTCGTTGGGCTTGGCAGCCTGGGATCTGCCCCTTGCTGCTCTGGCAGTATGCACAAAAGAAGAGCCCAGCTCCAGCAGAAGGACGGGTCCATTCTGCCTGGTGCTTGTGTGTTGTCCGTGGCCAGAGTGGGCAGGCCAGCATGTCGCTGGTGCTGGCACTCAAGGCTTTCCCTACTTGTTGGGAACTGGTTGGAGGGAACTCTTTGGGGGATTTTTATTGAGCTGAGGGTGTTGGCTGTGCTCTTACTAGCCCAGCGTCACTTTAGAGGGAAAAAAGGAGGGAACTGGGAAAATCCGTGACATCAAGGCCATCTCCAGGGCTCTGCAGAGTGACACTGCCTGGCACCTTCTCATGAGCAGTGGCCAAGGCATGAGGGCCCATCTTCTTGCTTGGAGAAGCCCCAGAAATACTGACCCGTGTTCCTGATTTCTTGCTTTTCAGGGTGTCACAGTACCTGGGCTGGGCACCTTCTTTGCTGTTAAACAGGAGCAGCCCATGGCAGGCGTTAAGCTCCTTGACGCAAAGAAGCCCGTCTTCCAGGTTTCGGAGCACTTTGCCAATGTTCATGGGCTCCCTTACAAGAAAGAAACTTTTCCTGGTAAGAAGAGAGATGATTGTCTGGGCTCCCACGCGCGGGGACTTTGGGCTGCATGCTCAGCTGCTGCTGGGAGGGCAGTGGAGGGGTTCCACAGCTCCTCCAGGAGGTCCAGAGAAAGGCCTGAGCTCCTCTCAAGCCAGGGCCCACCAATGCTTTGACTCTTCCAGGAACCACAGGGTTTTCCCCAGGAAGAAGGCAGCTCATCCAGCAGCGTGGACAGGGAGGCTGCAGATGAGGGGTACAGAGCGCCTCCCCAGACACCTGGAGGTCAAGAGTCAAAGCCATCAGCATGTCCCAGCCCCAGTGAGCACAGCACTGCGGTGCTGGTTGAGAGCCAGTGACGTGCACGACATGCCTCCAGTGTCTCTGAGGAAGAGCTGGATGAAACAGCCGAGATTGTTGTTGCTGCAGTGCTACTCCATTCTGTAGCCATCATGCAGGGAGCCACGAGCAAGGATCCAACTGCTCCCTTGGCCACATGGGCCAGGGTGCCTCCTTCCCATCCCAGAGCCTGTTGACTGTACAGCAGTTGACGAAACCGGAGCAGTGGCTTCTCCCTTGGCTACGGTTCCTGGGCACCAGGTAAGCCCAGCGCGTGTGGTGGTCTCCAGGCACCGAGGGCAGCCCGAGGCAGAAGCAGTGCGTGGGGTGTGCGTGCTGGGGAGCTGCCTGCTGCTCTCCATTCCCAAACGCCCCAGGCACAAGGGCTGACATCCCTTCCATCACCTACCTGTGCTCTTGCTCTCCCCATGCAGGTTGCTGCCGAGCAGAGAGGCCAAGCGCAGTCTTCCTGCACCAAAGATACACCAGCAGACAAGCCAGCAACGTGCCAGAAACAAGAGCCGTCCCATGGGGACTTTTGGATGGGCCTGTTCAGAGCAGCGAGCAGGAGCAAGGGCTAGGAAAACGCAGGGGGGCTGGCTGGTCCTGGGCCACCCCTCCCCTTGGGTGCTGGTGCGGGGGGAAGGCAGGGGCTTGCCCATCACCCTGCTCAGGCCCTAACCTACACCTCTCTGTCTCCCACAGGCATCCATGACCTCGCACAAGCCCCTGCACGCCAGCCACAGCCCGCCCACATCAGGAGAGCTCTGCGGGCTCTGCGCAGGGCTTTGTGCTGCAGCTTCATCCCAGAAGAGTGGGAGTAGCAGCAATGTATCAGCAATGTAGCCCGGTGGTCGTGGGCAGGGGTCTTTCAGGATGAAGGCAACGAGGAAGAGGAGGTTAAACTCTCTTTATCCTTTGTGGACTTGGACCTTCTGTTGGATAGTTTAGGCCTTTTTTTGCTTATCTTTGCCTTGTTTCCTGCCAACAAGTTGTTCCTTCTTTCTTAACGAGATGTTCATTCTTCCCTCATCCGTTTAGCCTTGAACGATATCTTCTTTTTACATCTGCTTCTCATCTACATCCCTATAATTAGGATATTTTTAGGTTCTCATCCACATCCCCAATACTTAAGGTACTTTACCATGTATGTAATGTAGCTAGATACTAGTTCAGATAGTTTTTTTAACATCTTCCCCATCTCAATTGCACCCTTTTCTTCTAAATCAATAAAGTCTTTTACTTCGTACTATTCTCGGATCGCCCCCTCTCCATACCTATTTGTAAGCACATATTCCTTTGAAACATTGTAATATCAGGAAAACAAATATTCCGTAAAATAACAGAACCCAGGGCCCGTAGTAAACAATTGTTTTAACCATGTCAAACTTGGTAACCAAACTTGGGATGAGCGGGCCGTGCCAAGCCCGCAGCGTGGCATTGGCGGCCTTGTTGCCATCCCCAGGGCACGGCTGAAGGGGATATTGTGGGTTTGATTTGCAAGGACGGGGAGAATTTGGGCATGCAGTATCCCACTTCATCCGCAGGCAGTTCGCGCTGAACAAGGTGGGCTTTGCAGCCTCATGCTGCCCTCTTCCTCTGCTCTTTCCCAGAGCTGCCACCCCACAGAACGCACTTGTGGACCTGAAATCGAAGTCTCTGCAGATGGCAGCAGTGCCTATGAAGCAGCAGCATGTCCTCATCCCTCACCCCCCAGAGGAGAACACTGAGGCAGATCCTGTGAGGAAATCAATGCCAAGCAAGTGTGGGCGAGCTCCCACAAAGGCAATGGGAAAGATGAGCTGCAGCAGGCTGGGCTCTCACTGGCACCCTTCTCCCTGAAGGGAGCAGGGAGTGTCACTCAGCTCTCCTCACTGGAGCGGAATCTTGAACCTTTCCAGGAATCACAGAATGGCTTGTGGTTGCAATTGATGTTAAAGATCTTCTATTCCCTCCCGCCCCCCTGCCATGAGCATGGATGCCATTCACTAGAGCAAGTAGCCCAGTGCCTCATCCAAACAGGTCTTGAAGACCTCCAGGGATGGGGCATTCCACGGCTTCTCTGGGCAAGCTGTTCCAGTGCCTCACCACCCTCTGTGTGAAGAAATTTTGTGGCCACCAAGGAGCAGCTCTGACTAGCCTTCTCTTTTCCTCCTTACAGGGATGCCTCCTGCTATTAAGAGCCGGCTGCTCACACCCCAGAGTCGCTCTCCAGCCAGACTCTCCAGGGCGACAGGGAAGGCACAGCTGGGCCAGGCTGCTGGGGAAAAAGAGCCTTCTCCCAAATGAGGCTGGGGGAAAGCCATAGAAGGCAGCCCCAGAGCTCTTCCCCTTGAGTCATCGAGAAGCTTTCCTTGCACGCAGGGACTTGTTGAACTCCACAATGGGCCTGACACATGTCCCACTGACGGCAGGTTCCTGCCTGGGCACCCAGCAGGTGAGCAAAATCTCTCGCCGCAAATCCTCCTCTGTTAGGTAGCCACGGTGGTCCGCCTACCTGAGTTGTTAGAAGGGAAATGTTTCTGGAGATGTGACATTTTGACAGTTATTGTGCCTTCTTCAGTGCCTTCTTCATGATTAAAGAGGAGCTCCCCATGGTGGGCTTTGAGCTCCTTGATGTAAAGAAGCCCATCTTCGATGTTTCAGAGACCTTTCCCAGTATTCACGGGCTCCCTTACAAGAAAGAAACTTTTCCAGATAAGAAGAGAGATGAATGTCGGGCTCCAATGTGCAAGGATGTGGGCTGCATGCTCAGCTGCTGCTGGGAAGGCAGTGGAGGGGTTCCACAGCTCCTCCAGGAGGTCCAGAGAAAGGCCTGAGTACCTCAGAAGCCAAAACCTGCCAATGCTTTGCACCTTCTGGCAGGCAGCAGCTGCCGGAAATGTCCCTCTCCATGCTGTTGGCACCCTGATGGCTGCGTTGGTGGTTGGCTTCTCCTCTTGGCATCTGGCACAGCTGCAGGTGCAGAGCAGCAGCAGGGCATCAGTGCTGGAGGGCCCAGCAGCTATGCAAATGTGACTGCCCTCCTCTGCAGGCCTGTGTAGTTACTTTGCTCCTTGCTTCTTTTCCGTAAGGTGTAATTCGATTTGTTTTCCTGAATTATGCCTGGCTGTCCTTGGACACAAGGGCACATTGCAGTGCTGCATTGGGAGGGCCTTGTCCTTCTGGGTCAGACGCGTCTCCTGATGAGGCACAGGAGCCTTGCGCCTGACAAAGCCATGCAGTGATTTACCAGGTGCAGGCACTCGCTGCGCAGCTTGTGCTGCTTGTAAGGAGGGGTGAACACTAAGCCCTGCAAGCTGTGCCCGTGGGCAGCTTTCTGCCTGAGCAGCCGCAATGCCTCCGTTGGAAAGGGCATCCCTTCCTGGCCATGGTCTCAGCCAGGACTGTCTCTCCTGCAGAGGCTAGGCACAACAGATTTGGCCACATGGGAGAGAAAAAGCATAGTCCCACATCCAGCTTCTGGGGGTGTCCTCATCTTTTCCACGTGGGCGCGTTGCTTCTGCAGCCCTCGGCTGAGAGTTTTGGCAGCTTTTCAGCTCCTCTCCGGAAGGTCAGCAGTGCCAGGGCTTGCCCAGTGCTCAGGGAGGAGCTGGAGGGAGACTTCTCCAAGCACTGTTTCCTCCTCCACTCCACACCGATTCTTGCTTGTTTTGGACGAGGGGGCATTCTCTTTGTGTAGCTAGGGCTGGGGGAATGTCTATTGCCTGCCCAGCCCACAGCAAGCCCCTCTCAGACGCTGGCACCAAGACCAGCACCCTACAGCCCTAGAATGTGGTGCTCTGGAGTCACACTGCCTTGGTCTTTCTTCCAGGATTGGGCTCTACATACCTCGGGGAAGAGCTGCAGGGAGAAGAGCCTCTCCAAGCACCCAAGGGTTTGCTTTGGGAAAGAAGGGAGACGCAAGTGTGGAGGGAGAGTCTACCAGAACAGGTAAGATTGACTCTTGTAAAGCTGACCTCACAATCAGTAAGATTGTAAAGTAGGTATGTTTATGCAGCACTGGGCGGCACGGGGGGTAGTCCCACCAAAGTCGTGCGCCCCTAACACGGCAACTTGCTTTGGTTATATGCAGTAGAGATTTACATATGCATGAGGTTTCGCAGTATGCCTATACATATTCATAACCTGTCCCCGCTTAGTATTAAAATTAGTTCCAAGAAGTCATTTCCATAAGCTCCTCCCCTCTGCGCTTGCGCGGTGCCTTCTGGTGGTGGGCACTGAGGGTCGTGAGGATGAAGTGAGATGTCTTCATCAGGGTTGAACTTTTCACCTCGTCTCCTTGCGCATGCTCTCTGAGGCCTTGGTCATAATCTGGGCCATAAGGTTGGTTTGGTCCAGTTCTCCGGGCCTGAGGGGCTCCTGTTATCTGGAGGCCTTGCATGTTTGACATTTTTTATCTTGTCCTTTTAAGAACAGTGCTCCTTATCTCTGAGCCCTTGGTCACAGTCCAAACCATAAGGTTGGTTTGATCTGGTTCTTGGAGTCCCAGGGGCTCCTGTTATCTGGAGGGCTAAGCGCAGCACAGGCACATCGCAAATGTAGCACATATTAGGCAATGAGTGTTGCCTACATATTCATTCTTAATCAATCACTCTCTAATTTCTAATCCCATGTTTCAGTCCCCCTTTTCTGGAAAATCTAGTAAATTCTTTTACTTAATACAAAAATTCTTCTTTCCAGTCTCTACGGTATGTACCCCTCAATACCTTGCCATGTACCTTTGTCAAGGAAGCTAGTATGGCCATTCATTGTAACCATTTCCAATTCCAAAAGTATTACAAAAGACAATATTAAACTTATACCAACTAATATCAGTAAAACAACAACCGGGTGACACAATGTGTTCAAAATCCCAGTTGCAGTTGGCGACCATCCTAAGAGTGTGTCCCACCAGTTGTGATTTGTCTTGTTTTACTCTTTGCAAATCTCTGCTTATTTCCTTTGTATCATGATGGACAGTGATTAGAGTCTTCTTTCCATTTTCCTGAATGCTTTCTTTTAAAAAAAAATTTTGATCAGGTCTTGGTGTTTTAACTAGTTGCTTCACTAACGTGAGGTTCACCCCAGCAGGTGTAGGTAATAACTTGTGATAGATTGTGTTGTTAGACTTGATCAACTGGTGGGATACCACTGGTGCCAAATATAGAAAATCACACCTGACAATTCTAACAAAGTTAGAAAAGTTAGAATGATTTTTGCTAGGGAGAGTCACGTCTTCCTTATCTACTTGTACAAAAGCACACGCAGCCTTGACCAATATATACAAGCACAGTCTTTTGACTACTATTTGGATGAATTTCAAAGTGGCAAACGCCTTGTTGCGTGTCAAGACATACATCCTGAGCATCAATTGTGTTGCTTTCACAAATAAATCCTTGTTGTTCCCAGGTAACACATGATTCTAGACTTACAGACTGCCATTTCCCATTCTCCATCCATGCCCATGTTCTATGCTCCGAAGGATACAGCACTGTCTCCTCATGGTTTAATCCTAGTGCAAGGATGGGGTGGATAACATAAACTGTGGCATTACTTATAGTAGGCACAAAGGCAGTAGCCATGTTAACAATGGGATCATAGGTAAAATTTACCAGAGTCCACCAAGATTGGAACTTCTTCTCAAAATCATTGGCATTGTCCCAAACAGCCTTTTGGACTTCAGCCAGAAAAATGCCTTCACTTCCTTCCCTAATGATCAAGGCAGCCGTTGCCTGCATCCATAACTGTGCTTGTATACAGCTAAGAGCGAAAGATACATTATCTTGAACCATACTAAGTGCATCTGTTCTTAGTTTGTGGTCTTGGTCTTCAGCCTTTTCCCATCTCGGTAACACCTGTGAAATTTGCCATTGGCTAGTTCCCAATGCCAATAAGGATGATTGTAGGGGCTGTTTTAGTTTTGTCCCACTGTTGTAGGAAGTACAGCCAAAACCAGCTAATTACTACAGTCTGTGTAAATACAAAATTATACCACCAATCTGATTTACCTGGGTGGATACAACCTTCTTGTTGGCCACTTTTGGAAATAGGTTTTACAAAAATCCCCGTTACTTTCTCGTGGGTCATTCCATTAATCATTCGGCACCCTATTTTAATTTCGTCCCCTACGGTTCTTTGGTGTGTCCATTCTTGCCCTAATTTTTGCCATTCTTATAATGTATCTAAATGGTCATCATTTGTTCGCCAAATAACCACAACTGCTAACTTTCCGTTAATGCTCTTATCCTCTGTTGTTACAGCTTCAGACCAAGGCCGCTCACCATTCTCTATTATCATAGAGGCATCTTCTTGAATCACAGTTACAACTTATAAGCCATAGAAATAAAACAATTCTGTTAACTAAATTCCTGCTAACCATATTACTAAATACTCCTGACCGTGATGTCCTCATTTTGCTCGACTGAGCTTTAGTTTCAGTTCACCGTCACCTGGCGTTACTTTCCAGGGGGTTCTGGAGCTTTCTTCACTTGAGAACGGTGAATCCAGGCACTCTGTTCCCTGATCTTAACTGCAGTGAAGGTTTTAAGGAGCACCTGGTATAGTCCTTCCCACTGTGGTTTCAAAGTTTTCTCTACAAGAGACTTAGCTACCTCTCAGGCTTTGGCAGTCCTACTGGGGAAAGCTTCTGGCCATCCTGAAAAGGTATCTGTTAACACCAGTAAATATCGACACCCCCCTTTTCTTGGAAGTTCAAAAAAAGTCAATTTGCCACTGTTGCCCAGGCCCATGGCCTTTTCCAATTTGACATAGTTTTGGTTTGGGGGCATTTTGGGGGTTAGTCTGGAGACAAAGATCACAATATTAAGCTATTTGAGTGATGGTAGCATATTAGTTCCTGGCAATATTTTTTCCAATTAGATAGCTATACAAAGCGTCTATTCCCCAATGTGTTTTCCAGTGTTCTTTCTTTACCAGTGACCACAATAAATTGGAGGCGATGACTAGCTTCCCTTCCCTTCTTTGGTAATAGCCCATCCCTCTTGGTTATATTTTCCCTTCTGACTTTCAATTAATTTTCTATCCTTTTTGTTATATACAAGCTTACCTTCAAGGGGAATTTGCCTGTCTGGAATCAGGGCTCCCTCAGTTGCTACCTCACCTTCTGCTGCTTCTTTTGCCTCTCTGTCCGCCAGATCATTTCCTTCCTCCAATTCTGAGCTCACCGTCTGGTGTGCCTTAATGTGCATGATTGCTACCTTTTCAGGCAGCTGATCTGCTTCCAATAATCTCATTATTTAGTCCAGCTTCTATTACGTCTTTGCAAGTGTTAACTGCATACCCAGCGTGTTGTTTTCCGCTGATGACGTAGCTGCTCCCATATTTCCACCTCATCAGAAGGAGTGTCCTTCAGATCTGGACGGCTGGAGTAGGTAGCTTCAATGGTCTCCAGGCAGTCATGGTGTACTGGCTCCCCTTGGTTTCTGCTGATTTCAGGAACCTTTGTGGGGAAAGCCAGTGACCACCTTTCACTTCCAGCACTGTGGACACTGTGTGAGACACTAGCACAGTAATTTTCTGTCCCAAGGTGAACTTGTGTGCTTCCTGGATATTTTGCACCACTGCTGCAACGGCTCTGAGGCATCCCAGCCATCCCTTGGCAGCAGCATCCAGCTGCTTCGAAAAATAAGCAACTGCCCTTCGCTATGGGCCCAGGTCCTGTGCTAGTATTCCCAGGGCAATCCCCTGTTTCTCATGGGAGAAGAGGAAAAATGGTTTATTCACATCTGGAAGTCCCAGAGCTGGGGCTGACATGAGAGCCTTCTTCAGTTGGTCAAAGGCTCGCGTGGCCTCCTTTCTCCATTGGAGGTCCCTGTTCCCGTTTGCAATGAGCACATAGAGTGCTTTTACAAGCAATCCGTAATTATAGATCCACAATCTGCACCACCCCGTCATTCCCAAAAAGGTTCACAGTTCTTTTATAGTCTCGGGTTTCAGGGTTTGACGTATCGCTTCTTTACAATCATGCCCCAGGGTCCGTTGTCTGGCATTAACCTCATAACCCAGGTAGGTCACCTTCTGCTTTACCACCTGAGCCTTCTTCTTCGATACCCTGTACCCCTGTAGTCCCAGAAAGTTTAGGAGGCTTACCATCCAGGCCACACATGCTTCCTCTGTCTGGGTGGCTATAAGGAGCTCATCTACGTACTGCAACAGCCTTCCTTCTCCTGATGGGGCTTTCCAGGTCTCCAAGTCCTTTGCAAGTTGTTCTCCGAATAAGGTGGGTGAGTTCTTAAAGCCCTGAGGTAACCTCGTCCACGTGAGCTGTGTTTTGTGCCCACTCTTAGGGCTTTTCCAATCAAATGCAAAGATTTTCTGACAGGCTTCATGGAGAGGGAGGCAAAACAAGGCATCCTTCAGGTCTAAAACGGTAAACCAAGTTAGCTCTGGTGTTAAGCATGTTAATCAATTATCAGGCTAATTCCTTCTCTGTCTTCCTTTTTCAAGGGACACTGTTTAAGTGCATTTTTTGCCTTCCGTGTTACCTTAGAAGATCATACTCAAGAAAACACTTGACTTAGGATTTCCTCACTAATTTCCTCTTTGGTCTCAATAGCTGTCAATATCAAACTCAACACTTCCACGTATCTTTGATCATTTACCTCCAGAATAATCTCCCCATTTTTAAATGAAATGGTTGCTTGTAATCTTTACAATAAATCTCTCCCTAGGAGTTACTCCGGGGAGCTGGGCATGCATAGGAACTTGTGAATGCCCCACTGTTTCCCATATTTACATTTCAATGGCTTGCAGAAATATGCTATTTCAGATTGGCCAGTTGCCCCCTTCACTACAATGCAATAATTCCCCACTGATACTAATGCTTTCTTTAAAACCGAGTATGTTGCCCCCGCATCCACCATAAGTTCCACCTCTTTTCCCTCTTTCCCCATCTTCATTTTTGTAACCAACAGATCTGCTGGGGTAGATTCCCCCAGTCCTCTTTAGTCGTCTTTTGCATGTGCGACCACCACCTCCCTTCTCCGGTTCCCTTTTCCATTTCTTTTCCGTTCTGGCTTTCCTTTTTCCAATGCCCAAATTTCTTACACGGGGCGCATTGCTCCTTGCCTAGTCGGGGCTGTTCCTGTCTGGGCCTCCTTTTTCCTTCTTCTCTAGTAACTGCTATCAGCATCTTCTGCATGTTTAATTGAGGAAGATAAAAGAAGATGAAAGTCCTCTCCTTCCAAATTGCCCTGTGTGCATGCACCACACCAAAGGCATATTTCAAATCTGTCCAAATGTTTGCCAGCTCAAAAGCTCTTATCAAGGTGCTGATTTCAGCCTTTTGGGCTGATGTTTGTTACCGTATATCCTGTGAGGCAAAATCCCTGGCGGACGAAGCTGCTGCCATCTATCTACCAATCCTCCACATCTTCTAGGGGTATTTCTTTTAAGTCTGGTCAGCTGGAGGATACGTGTCCATGGTCTTGATGCAATCATGAATGGGTGATCTGGAAACTCTGTTACTGAGGAAAGAGGCTGGGTTCACAGTATTAGTGCCGAAAAAATGTAGCGAACTAACAGTCCATTATACACATTCCTTTTCTTCTTCAGTAGCTATCATTTGCACATTGCAACAATGTCCCCTTTTCCCGAAGGGGTCTTTCAAGCTTCAAGATCACAGTTCCCGAATATGGTGGGGCTATTCTTGAACCCCTGTGGTAACACTGACCAAGTAAGCTGAGTTTTCCATCCTCTATTATTATTTTCCCACTCAAAGGCAAAGAGTTTCTGGTTTTCAGTTGCCACGGGCAGGCAGAAAAGGGCATCCTTTAAATCTAGTACCATGAACCAAACTTGACTGTTTTTCTCATTTTGTAATTCCCATCCTTTTTCCCATTTTAAATTTCAAGCATTGCAAAAAATGCCTTTTCCTGTTGGCCAGTTGCTCCTATTACATTTACGGACTAATTAACACAGAGAAAGAAGCGCCCGTAACCAACAAAAAATTCAAGCTTCACTTCTTCATTCCCTAGCTTTATTTCAATCAGTGGACCTGCCAGGGTAGATGCCCCAGGTCCCCATCATTCCTGACTGTTGTAAGTTTATCCTGCAAACTAAGACAATTTCTTTCCGAAATCAGGGGCTGATTGCCCTGGAAAGAGGCTAACCAATTGCCTCTGTTTGTTTTCTGAAGCCAGGTCCAGTTTTTTTTTTTTTATATTATTATTTTTCTCTTTGAAAGTTCAGTCCCATTAGCAATCTGAGCTCACACATGAACTCAGGTTGTTTTAAGAGTTAGCTGCTTTTCTGTTTCCATGTCAACTCTCTGGGACCCATCAGGGTCCCTCTGCCCCAGAGGGCTCACACCCGTGATTTTGAGATCTCAGCCTCGGGCTGAGGCAGACCTATTAACATTCCTACATCCTCTTTCCCCGCTCATTGGACTTCAAACAGCTTTGTCAAATACTACATGCCACACCTTTAACACCTTCAACAACCCTTTTAGCACTTCCTGTATCTTTCTCCAGCCTGTACTTTTCTAATGCCAGCACCAAAAGCTCAGTCAGGGGCCAACTTAATTCCATACCTTTTCCCTCCAAGATACTGACACAACATATCAATATACAACATCTCATCCCATTTTCCTTCTCTCCTCAAAAACATTAATTGCAAGATAGTGTTATAGTCGATTGATCCGTAAAGTGGCCATTTAGCTTATATAGTGGCCACCATTGATTGCAATACTTAGTGAAAGTCCTCTTGCTTTGCGCTGCCCCAGGCGTTTGGAGCTCTGTCTTTCAGAGATTCTCTTCCTCCAGACAAGCAGTCAGCAAGACAGCTCTGTAGCAATGCTGGAGGGTCCAGCAGAGGCCCAGAGGTGACTGCCCTCCTGTGCAGGCCTGTGTAGTTACTTTGCTCCTTGCTTCTTTTCCGTTAGGTGTATCCCGTTTTCTTTTCCTGAATTATGCCTGTCTGTTCTTGGACACCGGCATTCCTCGGGACACGGTGCAGCGCCGCATTCAAGAGACCCTGCTCTTTCTCTCTTGCACCCTTAGAAAGAAGCAGGCTGTTGATTTCGTCTTCAAGGACATTGGCCATCTGGTGTTCCACAAGGGCTGAGTCCAAATGCAGTTTTCCACCGACTGCGTTCCTCAGCACACCATGGCAGAGCAGCAGGATCATGACTTCAGCTTTAAGGCCACTGGCTGTGTGGTTCTCTGGAAACCTGTCTCAGTGTAAGTTTCTGAGGGCTTCAACACTGCTCAGGGTTCTTGGGAAGTCCCGAGGCCATCCAGAAGGACTTGTGGTGGGTGTGACTTATCTCCTGTCTGAGGCAGTTGAGTCTCACCTACGCACAAAGTCAGGCAATGTTATACCTGGGTGTGCATGCTAGCCGAGCAGCTTCTGTTGTTTCTAAGGAAGGGAGGAAGGTTTGTTTTTTTTTGCCTGAGCAGCCTGAAGGTTAGCTGATTTTGCTGTGAAGGGGATCCTGTCCTGGATGGGATCTCACCCAGGGCTGCTTCTCTTGCAGAGGCGAGGGATGATGCGTTCAGCCACATCTGGCCCTCTCACAGATGAGCTCTGGTAGCATAGTTATCTTTCCCAAGTGAGTATGCTTGCTTCTGTGGCCCCTGACTGACCACATAGAATCTGGAGGGGTTGGAGATGAACAGCTCCTCAGACAGCCCGGGGGACATAGAGAAAATGAACAAGGGAGTAGTAGTGAGGATGGAGAAAGACACTAAGAGCAGGCAGTGTGAGAGCTGGCTCCTGGCAGTGCTTGCAGGTCCAGCTTTTGCTCTACCTATAAAAATGTCGTCCCATTAACCTGCAGCTTTTCTCACTTTGACCCATCTGATTCTCTTACTCACCCCACTGCAGGGGAGTGAGCGAGCAGCTGTGGGGCTCATTTTATAACCTATTGGGGTTAACTGACAGGAGATGGCAGCAGTGTTCGGGGCTGAGTTCATGAGATGAGGACAGGTCTAAGGAAACCTCAGTTTTGGGGTGTCTTGCTGAAAAAGGCAAGTATTTGTGAGTATGTCTCCATCAACCTAGAACCTTCCTCCTTTCTCTTCCCTTCCTTAGGCTGAGTGAGAAGACTTGCATATGGAACGAATGTGAAAGGTGCTGGCATGTACAAGCTAAATATTACTGAATAAAGACAGTGGTAACCAGCCTCAGCCGTGCTGCATATGAGCTGTGAGAAACGGGAAGAGAAGAGCTGGCAGCTGTCTCCTCTGTTCTTTCCCATTTCTGGCTGGGAGCACGAGAAGCCCATCGGGACAGTGTTTGCAGGGGCCATGACAATTTTGCTGGGCTAGGGGAAGCCTCCGCTCCTACGGGTGGAGAAGGGACAGAGAGAGATGGAGGCCAGGAGTGCTGCCATCCTGTGCAGCAGCCACCTCATGTTCCCAACTCTCATGCACCTCCCAGATGATGGTGAGCCCGACAGGAGTTGCCTCAAGAAAAAGCACCCGCACAGCCCTCTCGAGCCACAGTTTCTTGTGGGGAGAGAGAGGGAGGGTCTCGGGACATGGGCACCAGTCCACACGGCCACCAGGGCTGTGCTGCAGGAGCAGGCTGGCTTGCAGCATGACCTCTCTTTCCCTTGCTTTTCAGGGATTGTGAAAGTTTGGGATGCAGTATCCCACTACATCCCAGCAACGCCTAGCACCTTCTGGCCGGTAGCGGCTCCTGGAAACGTCCCTCTCCGTGCTGTTGGCACCCTGATGGCTGCGTTGGTGGTTGACTTCTCCTCTTGGCAGCTGGCGCAGCTGCAGGTGCAGAGCAGCAGCAGGGCACAGTGCTGGAGGGTCCAGCCGCTGCCCAAACGGGACTGCCCTCCTCTGCAGGCCTGTCTTAGTTCCTTTGCTCCTTGCTTCTTTTCCCTCAGGTGTACCTCCAGCTGCTGTCCTGAATTATGCCTGGCTGTTCTTGCACACCAGCATTCCTAGGGACACCATGCAGTGCTGCATTCAGGAGACCTGCTCTTTCTCTCCTACACCCGTGCAAAGAAGCAGGGTGTGGACTTCATCTTCAAGGACATTGGCCGTCTGGTCTTCCGCAAGAGCAGAGTCCAAAGGCAATTTTCCACAGACTTTGTTCACAGCCTAAGTAACAACGTCCAGCTGCTGAAATCTCAGATGAATGACCAAGTGACAGGACCAAGAGAAGAGCTGTGGGCATCCCTGGGAAGACTGCAGAGGATCTTCTGATCTCCTGCGTTTTGGAAGGAGGCTGTGCTCCGGGCTCTTGGGACAGGCAGAGGTGGCGATCTTCAGAGCCCACCCGAGAGGTTTCTTCTCCGTTGCTGCAGCTGCCTTTAGTGCGGAGTGTGCGGGTGAGGAAACATCTGGAGAAGAGACAGGAGGACAGTTCTTAAACACACGCAGCCTTGACCAATATATACAAGCACAGTCCTCCTGCACCAAAGATACACCAGCAGACGAGCCAGCAACGTGCCAGAAACAAGAGCCGTCCCAGGGACTTTTGGATGGGCCTGTTCAGAGCAGCGAGCAGGAGCAAGGGCTAGGAACGCAGGGGGACTGGCTGGTCCTGGGCCACCCCTCCCCTTGGGTGGTGGTGGGGGGAAGGCAGGGGCTTGCCCATCACCCGCTCAGGCCCTAACCTACACCTCTCTGTCTCCCACAGGCATCCATGACCTCACACAAGCCCCGGCACACCAGCCACGGCCCGCCCACATCAGGAGACAGGCGCTTCGGGCTCTGCGCAGTGCTTTGTGCTGCAGCTTCATCGCAGAAGAGTGGGAGTAGCAGCGCCCAGCTGCCAGCACCAGGAGGGCGCTCGGAGCTGTACGCTGACATCACTGATAGGAACAGGACAGTGCCCCAGGAATTCAGATGCCCCACCACACCCTGCCCCCCCCAGCCTCAGCTCAGCTGCGGCTGAGAATTTTGCTGTGAATAAAAGCTCAGGCAGAGTTTTGCCCCCAGTGCTCCTCTCTGTGTCGTTGATCTCAGGAGAAAGAGTGGTGCAGGCCATGCCAACCTGGCGCCCTGGGCCTCTCACAGTCATAGAATTATAGAACCATGGAATCGTTTAGGTTGGAAAGCACCTCAAAGATCATCACGTCCAACCGTTATATACACATAGCAACTGGCAACGCTCCTCCTGTGAGGCTGAATGTACCATGCCAGTTCTCGTGGGCGAGGAATGTTCTAGCATGTCGCAGGAAGCACGACCGAAAGCACAACACACCAGTATGGTCAGAACATGCTCCATTCTATTGCCCGAATAGCCTAACTTTTATAGTGAACTTAGCAGGGGCGGATCGTGTCTCACACAAGATTATTGGTCAAAAGCACTCAGACAAACAACTACAAGAAAACAACCCCACCTGCAAGAAAACAAGCCCCTTGTGATTAGCAGTCAGGTGGACCTTGTCCTTGAAGCCAGATCTGGTAACAATGTTTTTCTAAATTCCTCAATTGGGCGATGTGGGAACACTGTCATGGGAACTTCTCATAGTTGCCCTGGTAGCTTGGTTTGCTCAGCTGCAGCAAGCCATGGGATTTTTGCTGTTTCAAAAAATCCTTCAACAATACCCCCCCCCCTTTTTTTTTTTCTTTTTTTTTTTCTTTTTCTTTGAGCAAACCAAGCCTGATGTAACAGTTTTGCAAGTAACCCTTTAACCACATTTATTACAATACAACACGTAATGATGATTAACACCACAACAAACAGAATCCTTAATCCCTCTTTGACTAATCTCAGTAACCACCTATGCATCGTTTCAAACAAATCAGTGAACCATTGATTGAAAGGATTGATACCATACTGAATCTTTCTCATGTGCTCTTTCAGGAAAATAATGGATTTGTGAATTGATTCATTATGATCAAAAAGGTTTAAACAGCACATTCCATCAAAGTCCTCACACCCATGCCTTTGAGCCAAAAGCAAGAAGTCAATAGCAGCTTGATCCTGTAAAAGCACATGTTGCAGACTGTTTTGATCTGGTAACACCTCCTCAAGTATCTCTGTCGCGGCATGGGCTTGCTTCTTGGCGCAGCATAACAATTTTTCTAAGTTATTAAGTGTGGCCGCAGAGGCCACTTCGGCACTAAAATTGCCAATGCCTCTCTAGCTGCAACACCAAGCAATTCAACATTATCATTGCAATCCGGTGCGAGCAATGCTCTTTTATGTCTGGTGATCTCACGCAACTGCGACAAGCTAGGAGCAAATATAATGAGTTTATCTAAGCAACATGGACCTCCGATAGCATTTGTAGGGATACCTTGCCAAGCCCTATCCCTGCAAATCAGAAAAAACATCAGGAGGTAAGGCCATAGCTGTATAATTGTTCCAAACACTACAGTTGTTACCCCTTGTCTCCGTGCCATAAACCCCTAAACCCTGCCTAGCAGTGTCATTGTAATCACAGGTGTTATTTGTATTTCTGTACCGGTATGGCCCTTTCCAAGTTCCTGTAGCAGGATCTCGGTAATTCATTCTTATTTGTGGTAACACATTTGGTGCTGCTATATTTATTGTTTGAAAATGAATACTTGCAGGAGGGTCTTCTTGGTCCCTAGTCAAACATAAGTGATTGAAGACAGCCAATGCCTTGGACAACCGTTCATCGATGTTCTTGATCTCTTTTAATCTCACTAGTTGTTCCTTTCAAACCTGATGTGATGCTAGCAAAACCTTGCAGTCTTGTGTCTTGGTGAAGGATGAGGATGACATTTTGCAGGAAGAACACAAGGGTTGGTGAGAGGTTAGTTACTACGGAAACACCCGAGTATGGTCAAGACGGTACTAGGGCTTCTCCCGCCCAAAAGGTGGCCCAGCTGCGGTGCATTTACACTAATGCACACAGTATGGGTAACAAACAGGAGGAGCTGGAGGCCACCGTGCTAGAAGGAAACTATGACGTAGCTGCCATCACGGAAACCTGGTGGGATGATTCCCATGACTGGAGTGTGGCTGTTGATGGCTACAAACTGTTCAGAAGGGATAGGCGAGGAAGGAGGGGAGGAGGAGTTGCCCTCTGTGTTAGGAAGTGGATAGATTGTGAAGAGTCTGCCTGAGAAACAGCCATGAC